AATTATTTTTTAATATTTCTTCATGGTTTATTATTCTATGACTATGTAGCTTTAATAAAAGACCAACTATGAGGAAATTAAGCGAAATGCTGATTCTCAGTGACCAATAAACTAACTAAAGTCAAAGTCGTCAATCCGCCATCTTTGGACGCCATTTTGGGGCAGTGCGTTCACTTTTTTTTGTGGGAACATTGGCTTTTTTATAATAAATAGTTACAAGGAACACAACGATATGCAATTTATAGGGATGTGGGGGGGGGTGCACGGTAAGGGGGTCTGGCCCACAGACTATTCCATACTACCGTTAAAAACCTTGGTGCTGCTCTTCATCAAACCCTCTCCTGGAAACCAAACATCTCCCAAATTTCCCGTCGTACTATTTCCACCCTGAAACATCACAACCGTCTGTGATATCTTCTTCTTTTAAAAACCTGTCAACTCCTGGTTTACTCTTTTCTTTTCTCTCACTTCGACTATGGCTGTATGGTGTATGGTGGACTCTCGGGAGAACTCGAAGCGAAACTTAAACTTCTAATGAATTGCTTAGTGCGCATTACCTTTGAGATCTTAAGAGCAACGCATATTACCCACTATTACACCGAGTTGAAGTCCCTTTATCCGCTCAAAAGCCCTGCCGACGTCAGTAATTCATTCCTATATTCCTATACCAGACTAGTAGAACTCAGCAGCGACCCTCCTATATTCTACAGTGCGTACAATTTAAATCCTCTATCCAATCCCGTCCCACTTGATCCCGTAAGTCCGATCTCTTCCCTCCTCATAGAACTGCTGCGTTTTACAAATCCTTTGTAATTCAAACCGTCTCCTTCTGGAATTCTATCCCTCCTGATGTTAGACAAGTAAAGTCAGTTTCCTCTTTAAGATCTCCCCTCTATAAGCACCTATTCCATTCTCAATTCAATTGATCATGAAATGCCCGAAAGAGACTAAGTCGTAAGACTTTATTTATTTATTTTATCTTTTTCTGTTTATTTTAGATTTATGAATGTTTTTTTTATATCTTACTATAGTCTGTATTTTTACTTTATATCACCAATTATTCTGCAAGTTTTTAATTTAAATTATGGATACACTAAAATGTGTATTTATAATTTGTCCTAAAAGGAACAATAGTCTCAGAATAATAAAGTTGTTTTCATTCATTCATTCAATATAGTACCTTGTGGCGTTATATCTCAAATTTTGATTATTAAAATTTTTATTTTTTTTATACTCGATCACAAAGGTTTATTATTGAAAATAAATAAAAAGGAATGGGGTACATCGACAATATTAAGATAGACCGGTTCGGATCCGTGCCTGGGTGGGATGAAATTAATTTCATGGCGGACTCGCTGAATGAAACTCCACCTTCCAACTGTGGTTAGGATATATTTGTTTGGACCTACAAAAAGTACACCACCTACCCACTGTATGCCAGAAGTCGTAAGGCAAGGAGTAATTTTATATACATATTGTTAACACCGCATACGCATATATCTTTTTTTTTTTTTTGGCATTATTATTTTTTCTCACCATCCCTTTTTTAATGTTGATTTATAAATGTTTATTTATCTTTTTTCTTTGTAAATGTTTGAGAAACAATTGTCCCAGAAGTGTATTTAAGTTTATAGTATTTATATATTGAGCTTCACTCGAGATGTTTATCACATTTGTATACACACCAGCCCAGCAGTGTTACACAGTCTTAGGGATTAAGACACAAGTACTTGCGGTAACACTGCCCGAAAGCCAGTCTGGAGCTATCGTTCGTATGTGTTGGACGTCTACCCCACCATTTTCAACAGCTCCAGGTTCGTCTCGTCTCATCTTCACCTCACTTACACCAGTTAAGCCCCAGCTGTATCATCGATCAGGATCGATATGCATATCGATTCCCCCACCATCGACTGCTTTGACAGCTGAACATCAGGTAACCTCTTTGGAAATATAGCCTCCAACTTGGATATTTTCGTTTTCTTCTCTCACCACAGACATTTAGTTAAATATTTTTCATAGCTAAATTTATTTCTCTTTACTAAATTTATTTTTATTGGATAAATTAATCTTTATTATTGGAAATTTATTTTTATATATGTTTTATTTTGATGGTCATTTTTTAAAATTTTTCATTGAGTATTTTGTTTATTTTTTTAAATCTTGTATGTATGTATATATATTTCATCTTTTTTATTTCAATTCAATAAATATTGTGAACATTTAGAAGGGGATTTTCTTTATTTACTTATCTTAACATCTTTAATTAATTTTCATGTTTTACAAGTCTCATTTCCGCTATGTATAATGTATATATATAATGTGATATTAAAAATAAAAACTAGAATTGAGCATATAAGTGGAAATAAAAATAAATCCTAGAATTGAGAAAATTAAAAAATACACAGAGGAATTACGAAACAGGGACGAACGGATTTATATAAACACATACATATTAATTCTAAGTACCTTGAGGCGTGAAATCTCAATCATGTTTTTTATTTTCGATTACAAATGTTTATTATTGAAAATAAAAAACAGTAATAAGGTAAATTCATAATAACATGTACGTAAAATTAGCTACTAAAAAATAGTACAAACGTAGAATATATGGGGCAATTAAATTACTAGGATTGAAATAAATTAAAACCAATTATATATGATATAAATAAACTAACAAATAAATTATTTTATTTGGATTGTGTCTATAAATTCTATAGCTTTGATGTTAAAAATATAATAGTAATGATAAAAATATTTCATTTAAAATTTTAAAAAAATAGAATACAATTTATTTTATTTATGGGAAAACCCAAACTACATAGCCATGAGTCTCCATCATAGTTAACTTGCCAACGTTTCGCCAATTCAGGTATCATAAGGCAGAAAAATGTTTTTCCTTCTTTCTTTCTAATTTTTCCTGATCTGATTATGCCTGAATTGGCGAAACGTTGTTAATTCACCTATATGTTCATGACTTTGTACTTGGGAATTTTCCATTTATAACATAATCAACCGCTTTGTCTCTTTTCTAGCTTTATGCATATTTTAGTAATAAAATTTATATTATGGCACATTTAGTTTTCATAAATACGATTTTGTAATAGTAAAAAATAAGAATAAATATATCGTGAGAATAAAATTATGTGCAATGAATAATTTAAATTTAGAGGAAATTCTTTTGAACAATTACACATGTTTATAGATATGGCAGGATAATTATGTAAATAATCAAGTGCATGCTATTTTAAATAAATAATTGCATAATAAATTAAAATACCAGACCAAAAATCAATAATATTCTATACAGAAGCTTTATTTATGAAGGTGAAAAAATAATTAATCTATAGATCTATTAAATTAAAAAAATTATTATCTTAAATCAATTAAATTTACATCTAAATTATCCACAGACAAGATTATAAGATACTCATACTTAGACATGAGCTCACTTTCTACTTTTTTTACTTTAGCTACGCACAATGTCAAATAATAAATGCATACGATATGTTTTAATTATTAATTGTTTCTAAAGTTAACCGATCAATGAAACATATTAAAAATAAAATTTAATTAATAATAATTCAAAATGTTATATAATAAATCTTAAATTAAACCCAATAAATAGCTAATTTTTTGTAATAAATTATAAGATGTTCCCAGAATAACTATCAAAATTTAATTTAACGTTTAAAATGTGTGCAATATCAAATAACATAAAATTATGAATGTTTAATAATTATAAATCAGATAGATATATAACAAACATTAACATGTGAATTATTCATAAACAAAATATTATTGTAAAATTGATTATTAACAATGCATATATTTTATATAGGCAAAACATCACTAAAATAAAAAAATTAAAGTGATAATAAATAATTAAAATTAAATGTAACAGATCTGGCAAAACACGTATTCACTAATAATCGTACTTTATAGTTTAATGAAGAATTTTCAATTTTGTTTAAATCAGTAACATGATATTTAGGATCAAAATATATAACGAAAACTGTTCAAGTGCGACATTCGACAAACGTCGGCACAAATGTTCATAGCTCCGGTTTTAGGTAAGTCAAAGATTGATTTGTCAAATTCATTGTCAGTCAAAGTGGCTGAAGTTAAAATGATATCTGCACTTGCAAATTCGTAGTAGTGGTAGATTGAAACACTATAAATTTGAGAAAAAGATTTTCTTACTTAAAATATGTTAGATTTATTTAGTTACGCCATAAATTAAAAGTTAAACAAATTTCAATTGATTTAACTTAATTTGTTTTACGTTATAGTTTATATATATATATATATATATATATATATATCATTATAGATTATGTTTTAATGGAAATTTTCACATTTTTTAAAAAATATATCATGCCACTGACGATAATCCTTAATGGAATGATCAGTAAGGTGACTAGAGTACTTGGAGCGAATACGATTTCAAAGATTTCCTCCCCATAATTTCTGAAAATGTACTATTGGAGCATGAATCACTATTTGTAAAAAATGAAACGATGCATTTTTTACAAGTGGCGAAGTGTTTCATGCTACTCAGTCCATTTCCAAAACAATTACGAATTCATAAATACTACAATTGCTGCCATCGATCAGAACCATTATTTCTAATTATGTAAATCTAATATTATGTCTAGGTATGATTGTGTTTAGAAGTTTCTATTTTATGTTATTGTTTACTTTTTTTTTCTTTTATTTACTTTCTTCATCAGTATTATTTATTTACTTTTTATATTTATATTTATTTCTCTATTATTTGTATATATTGTTCGAATAAGAACTCTTAGCCCTAATACTTATAGCCCTCTAGCAGTGGCTGATTGTATTATTATTCAATAAATAGATAAAAAAAAATATTATGTCTAATATTAATAGAATAAAATACTAATTTAATACTATATTAACGGTCAGAACGGTGGAATAAGCAGCAACATCACTAACAATAATTGATAATTGTGATCTTTTTTTTTTAATAAAATGGGTAAAGTTGGTATTTATGTATTTTATAATATGAACAAATACAATAAAAAATTTCAATGTACATACAAATATAAATCTTAAGAACTAATGTGTCATGAAAATTAAATAAACAAAAAAAAAAAAAGAGGAGTTAATTTTAAGTAAATTATAAACTATATAACCACTTAAAATGTTTATTTATTTTCAATTAAAATTTATATTTTTAACATAATCAATAGCAAAAAAAAAAGTCATATATATCAACATATTTCACACTATCGTACATTTTAACTATATTTTATTTACTGACTAACAATTTTTTATTATTATTATCAGCTTAAAAACTGTGCAGTTCATCGTTCCACTCCATTAGTTTTTCCACACTCACGGTCGGTTGAAGTGATTGGGTTTAGGCGCAGCGTGGTGGTGCTTAGGACCGAAACAATTCGCTCTGCATCCCTTGAAAAAAAATCCACTTACGGCTCCTCTACTTTCCATTTAGTGTGGATCAGATTAAGTTTAGTGATTCGGCCTTTAGCCTCGAGTTAATGAAAGCTAATTTAAAATATATTTTTTTTATTTATTTATGATATTTACAACTGTATTAGTACAAATACATCAAGTAAATGTGTACAGAGGAAAATAATCACATGAAAACGCTTGTTGAGAAACTAACCATCGTTTGTACTCTAATTTATCAAATACGAAATATGTTTTAAAAACTATTTTTTGATTGCTCCTTTTTTTTTCTTTTTTTTTTTAGAATCACAAATTAAAAATCATGATATAAAATGTCAATCAATATATTCTCCGTCATCTTTTATTATACCCAAATGTTTGGCGACCGCTTTTACGTTAGCAATGACTTCTTCTTGGACTAAATTAAAACTCATTGCCAATAGTGCGATACCAAATAATAAATAAAGAGAACAAAGGGCGATACTCATCTCTCCATTTTTATTAGTTACCCTTTGAGCAGGAACAAAGTCACCGAAACCAATTGTTGTCAGCGTAATAAAGCAGAAGTATGCCGAATCAGCATAGCCCCAGTCTTCCCAATCAGAGAATAAAAATGCACCACCAACTATATAACTAACTACTAGAAAAACACACAGCCAAATAGGAACCGGTTTGATAGGAGTGCTAGAAGTCTCTTCGCTATAATCATAGTAATCTCTTACTTTTGCTTGATTTTGTCTTGGAACAATGAAACCCATTGGACTCATTATTCTTGGACTGGTATTCAAGTGTTCTGTTGAACGTCTTCCAAAGTTTCCTTAAAAATAAAGAAAAAAAAATTTAATTATTTTATGTAAAACGTTTTTCTCTATACAACTGTCGTATACATATTTATAAAAATATCTAGAATTTTATTTATAATGCTCAAATTAAATCTCATGAGAATAAATAACAAAACATATATATGAATAAGATATATGAATTGGTACATAACCAAGATGTCAGTGCTTATAAACAATTTCATTCATAAATTTGTGATATGATTTTACAGCTTTTTAAGATTCACTGTTTTAAGATTATTGACCGCTCCGTTACATTCTGGAATTCCTTACCTTATAACATCCGTCATGCCTTTCCTACAATCTTTCAAATACCTCCTTTTCCTATAGTTCCTTACAGCCCAAACAGATCTGCCTCCGTAAAATTTCATTTTATTAATTGAATTTTATTAGAAGTGAATAGCAGTGCATAATCCTATATATATATATATTAAGTGAAGATATATGTGTATATATATATAAAGATAATTTTTGTTTCTCCTGTTCCTTGCTGACTACACGAGGTTTTTCCCGGGCCAGGGGAAAGGTGAGGGAATTATGCCGAGCTAAATGTCCCACCGGGCACCGGGATTTGAACTCGTAATTATCTGTTTATCACACATCTTGGTTATCAGGTTGTCGTGCAACGTATGGTGCTGTGCACATGCTTTAGCCCGCTCAGTCACCCAGCCCCAGATATTAAGAGAATTATGAATGCCTTCGGAAGATTTGTCATCGGGACCCTGAGACGTCCCCGTGTTTCGCACCACTATGCTGAGTTAGGATGACTCTTCCCCTCGTTCCGAAGCCAATATGTCCAAAGCACATTCCTTTACCAAATAATCAATAATCATCGTCCATCTTACGCATACAATCTTCTATAATTTAAGTCATCTATCCACACCCTCTCCACAAGATTTCGTCCTTCTGACCTTAACACCCTTTCCCACAAATCTACACCATTTTATTTTTATTTTTTATATTTGTTTATTTTGAAATATCACATTCTGTCACAATAAAGGACATTTATAATAGTGTTCAGAGAGCACACTCACACTCTATTTACAATAAGCAAAAATAAATAATACAGAAACTAATAATAATAAAATAAATGTATATAAACAAAAGAACTAACCTAATCACACATAATTGGCTTGAGTGGAGGATCTGGCAATTGCCAAAACTCCAATATATGCTTATTCACAGAAGGTCTCTGGGCCACTGCCGCTTCAACCTTCGAGGAGGATTGTGAGGATGGATTGTGCTGGATAGAGATTGCGCAAGGGGATTTGGATGATAGGTAAGGTTCTGGTGAAATTTGGAGAATTTTTCTGGGATTAAGTCTAGGACAAATGGGATATTAAGGTCATGGTGTAGGGTTTTGTTAGTTAGATAGAACACAGCATCAACTATTGTTCGAAGGACTTTAGATTGAAAGGATTGAATACGTTTGATGATATTTTGCTATCCCCCACAGTTCAAGTCCGTATGTCCATATAGGTTTCAGTATTGTCATGTAGATAAGTAATTTGTTTTCAATAGAAAGTTTAGATTTTCTGTTTAGTAGTCTGTATAGCTGGCCGTATCGTCGGTTGACTTCTTGTCTTTTGAGTCTAGTATGTGGGTTCCACGTTAGTCTTTGGTCTAAATGAAAACCAAGATACCGGACTGTGTCTGAGTAAGAAACCTGGATGGAATTAAAGTGTGATGGTGGACAGGAATTGCGTCGTAGTGTAAAGGTAATATGTTGGCATTTAGATTCATTAACTTTAATGCGCCAGTTATTATACCAGTGCTCAATCAAGGTGAGGTGGCTTTGGAGATTTAAGGATGCTATTTTGGGATCAGAGTTGGATGATAAGATTGCGGTGTTGTCAGCGAATGTTGCAAGGAAAGTATCGGGATGAACAGGGATGTCAGCAGTAAAGAGAACACATCATTTAAACATTCCTTTGTTGTCCGTTCCACTGCATTTTGAAATTCCATCCCACTAAAAATCCGCCATGCATAATCCTTATCCGTATTTAAAACCCTCTTATTCCAGTTCCTCTTCACAATTCAATCAGACGCTGGCTAAGTATTTACTATCTAATAAGACTTTAATTTTCTTTATACATTATTTTTTTTTCTTTATTTTTTTTATGTGTTGAACATGAATTTCCACCACAATTCACAAAGCATTGTGAGTAGGTATAATTTGTTTTTCTTAACTTCTACTTTTCCTATTTATAAGATTGTATTTCTTTGAAATGCAATTTATTTTTTACTTATCTTCGGCACACTCCTCTCTATGTGTGTATATCTATATTTTATTTTAATTTTTTCTTCTTCTAATCTTTATGTGTATTCACTTAAACTTCTTAAGGAAAAAATGTAAATCATTTATTTACAGTAGCTTTTTTTTTTTTTTTTAATTTTTATATTACATCACTACAATGCTTTGCCTAAGCCAGACCCCGCTACCGTGCACCCTCTCCCCCCCCCCACATCCCTATAAATTGCATATCGTTGTGTTTCTTGTAACCATTTATTAAAAAAAAAAGTGGCGTCCAAACATGGTGTACTGATGGCTATGGCTTTAGTTAGTTTTTTGGTCACTGAGAATCAGCATTTGGCTTAATTTCGTCATAGTTGGTCTTTTATTAAAACTGGATAGTCAAAACATAAGAAAAAATGAAAAAATGTTCAAAAATAATTGACTTAGGCAATAAAAAACACCAGTAAAGTCAATTTTTTCAACAACAAAATTTTCAAGTTGAAAATCAATCGTCGTTTCTAATTAAACAGCCAAAAATAACGCAAAACACATCTATAGAATATATTTCTCTATCTAACACACTAATTACTTTTTAAAATATTTGAAGCAGTTCCGCAGAAAATGTACTTAAGCGGCAGAAAAGCAGTACTGGCATAGGTGCCTACATGCCTCTACCATACCATTCAGTACTCATAAATGGCTTAGTTATAATGCTATGATAACATTTTATAGCTTTAATAAAAGACCAACTAAGGCGAAATTAAGCCAATTGCTGATTCTCAGTGATCAAAAAACTAACTAAAGTCAACGTCGTCAGTCCGCCATGTTTGGACGCCATTTCGGGGCTGTTCGTTTACTTTTTTTTGAGACATTGGCTTTTTTTTAATAAATAGTTACAAGGAACACAACGATATACAATTTATAGGGATGTGGGGGAGGGGTGCACTGTAGGGGGGTCTGGCTCACAGACTATAACACAAGTAAGATAAAGACTTGCTAGGGAATTACCAGTCACTTTAGCTAACCAATGAGCACCAATTTATAAATATTTCATTGTTAATAAATCGCAACTCACCTGAATATCCATGAAAAAGAAAAGGCACAATTGTTTATAAAGTCACTATTGATCAATTCTTACACCAGAATTTTAGATATTATGCACATTACTAAGTAACAAACATAGAGGGACTGAAATCTAAACTAGTAACGGCCATAGCATTTGCTACTACTAAAAGGAGAATTAATTGTCATCTCAGTTAAACTTTCATTGTAAAAATGTAAATAGATGTAAATGTTTTTTGCTCCATTATACATGTTCGTTTTACTTTGTAAAGTGTAAACAAATCATATTTACTAATTTGTTCAAGTATTGATGCGTCTAATATTTACTGATTTTTATTAACTGTTCAATTTTCCCCCTTTTTTCAATAATGTTTTATTTTCCTAGATACCTGCTCCTCTCAGCTTTCCTGCAACTCCGTGTTCATCGTGTTCTGCTTCTTTGTGTATTGGAAGTGTGGCAGCTGAAAAAAAAAAAGAAAAGAAAACTCGATGATATTTAAGGGTGATTCTAATGTATAATTATTTATCAAATAAAATTATTGTAAAAAATCAGTTTCTACCTTAATAACCATTTTTTGAGTTTTACTTGAGCTAAAACATTAATTTGTAGCCAACTGAATGCCAACATTTTTGAAAACGTACAACTTTGAACATCTGTTATTCAATTTTAATGATCATGCACTTAAACTGCGAAATACTTATCAAACATTTTAAAACTTAACTGCATAATCAAGTGAAAACATTTTAAATATTTATTTTAGAAATAAAGAATGATTTTTTTATTATAATTAAGGTTAATAATTAATGTTGATCTGGTATTGAAAAAAATATTATTCTTTCAGGGATTCAGATTCATTAGGGATATAAAGAACTATTTATTACTTTTGGATGACAAGTATACTAGTGATGTAAGTCGCTCCAGTATGTAATGCTCACTTTCAATTACTAGGGGTTTAATTTTGGAGGTTTTTTTTTTATTTTTTATTTTTTAACTGTAATTATTCTGAAGGATGAAGAAAGAAACTATCTATTTGAAATGATGTTTAAAAGATCCTTGAAAACCTAAAAAAAATATAAATAAATGAAATGAGAATTTATTTCTATTTAATTAAACACAATTTAAAGGCTAGAGTGCAAGTTCCGGCTTTCAGAACTTAAAATCACTTTATATGAGAATCGCACTATGCAGCATTAAATACGAAGGTTCAGCTTCGGAATGACAATCAGGACCGGCTCATTTATACGGACAATCTGTGGCGAAAATATCATAGACGATTTTTTTCTGTTTTCCTTGAAAAGTGCATCAGTGATATCAAATGAAAACTGGAAACGTATTAATGAAACAATAATTTATTCCGAATATTGTAATTAGTAAAACTTGTAATTTTAATTTTTTCTATGCAGGAAAATTTAATTTTTTTAAACACATCAAGATTCGAGGGGGTTTTATTTCATTTAAGTATAAGTAATAAAAAGGAGATGATGGGGTGACAATGGAAGGAGGAGCACGGGCGGATCTACGGGGAGGGGAAGGGGGCTTTCGGTCTGAAGTCCCCCCCCCCCTCCAAATGATAAAATATAACCATATTTCATGGATGAAAAAAATACCTCTTAAAGTATCATTGTTCGTGCAATTAAATTTAAAAGGACTTTAGGAATCGCTTAAACACCATTTCATAGAGGTAGTTAGTTTCTTTCTGTTTTTCTAAAGTAATTATCGTTATTTTTATGAAAAAAAAAAAGCTTTCGGGCTGAATTAAATCCAAAATTAAATCCTGGATCCCCAAGTGGGGAGGGTGACAGATTTTTTTTTCACTAAAAGTCCCAGAAAACCAAGAGTAACAAACACCTGATGAGAATGAAATTTAAGTAATCTAATTTATTCTGCACATTGATGAAGGCTTAAATTTTGTAAACTTTAATGTAATCTTTCATATTTTTTTTTTAATTTCTTTTATTTACAACTGTATTAGAATATAAATACATCAAGTAAATGTGTACACAGGATTATAATCACATGAAAAGGCTTGTTGAGAAACTATCCACTGGTAGCACTCAAATAATATGTCTACTTAAGGAGATCACGAGAACGTCTTGTTTTCAGTCTAGTTTGTCTAGTTTACAGTAATCGTGAATTACTTAAATTAAATAGTTTTTTAGTTATCACTTCTTCTTAAAAAAAAAAAGAAACCTGACACTTAAAAAAACACAAAACTTTAATTTCCAACTGAAAATGGAACCATTATTTATATAAATGTTTTTGTAGCCTTTTAGTTTTCCTATCACTCCTGTACTTACGAAACATGCTGTATATGGGTTAAGACATGTAAAAAACAAAATTGCTAACACGGGTCACCAAGGGAAATCTTTTTACAGACAAAAAGCCAGATTTAGCTGATCGTTTTTTTTTTTTTTCATCTATTCCTATTAATCACGGCATCGAAGCGAAAAACGTATTCTTTAAGAAATTAAAGAATGTTGAATTGTGCGTCGAAGAAGTACCTAAACTTAATAATTTGAATAAGTGATATGGCCGATAACTACGGTCAACGAACGCTAATTTTAACCTAATTTGTCAAAAACTGAGACAGATTACCATAAATGGCCCTGCAGCTTGGAAATGAGTCATCTAAGAGAAATAAAACAGAATTAATTCCGACTTTGAACCCGATCATATTCAGATTCTGATCTTATCGGAGACCAAATAATTAGTACTTTCCTTCATGAAATGGTCCCAATAGCATCTATTTTAAGAAAAGAAAAGCACTTTCTAATGAGATATATACAAATTATTATCGTGACCAGTTTTATAAATTACATGGGTTCTTCAAGGAGCCTATAGTTGCTGGATGTTGCTATGCGTCTAGATCTATTGGAACTGAATAAAAACTGGGCCCGGGAGAAAAGGCCGTATTTTCTTGTGCTCGAATAAGTTCGTATGAATAAATAAAGTTGATTTTTTTATATAAATCAATTTTCCTCCATCATGAATTTCACCTGCTAGAATCAGTTCGGATTAGGCAGGAACAGACAGCGACAGGAGTACAAACATGCTCACGACGAGTAAGGGAAAACTCGCAACATCGGATAAATCAATTATATATATTTTTTTTTTCAACCTCAAAAACTAGATAAACTGCTTTGTTGATACCTTCTGAAGTTCATGAGAATTTTTTTAGTTGACAGAAGATACATTTTTCACTTTTTTTATTAAATAGTTTAATTTTAAAAAAATTGATTTAGCCAATGCCGCGAATTTTGCCTTACTCGTCCGACTGTGCAGCTGCCCCAAAACTGCATCACTTCACCCTGCGAGCCAACTTTTGCTCTTACATTCTATTCTTTGTTTCACAAAATCACGCCATGCTCCGAAGGCCGAGCGCAAGTTGATCCACAGCGTGATGAGGTGACACGACAATCCGTAAGATTAATAAAAACGATCAACATAATTTTTTTTTTTTAATATAACAGAATATTCTTCATTGAAGATGAATTTTCTCTATATTTCTCTTTTCTTTAAATAGCTGCTTTTTGAACTTCTTCGGGGGAGGAGGGCGCTCCCTAGCAGAATTCGCTAGTTACAATTATTTTTAAATAATAACAATAATATAATAATTAATAGTTATTATAATTAATAGTTATAATAATTAATAAAAACAATATTTTTTTTTATATTACATTACAAAATTCGTCTATAAGGATGAATTTTCCTTATATTTCTCTTTTTATTAAACAGATGATTTTACGAACTTTTTCGGAACCTTTTTTTCTATCATCCAATGGAGAGAGGGGAACGCCCCCCGGCTGGATTCGCTAGTACTGGTCACGATAATATTATTTTTTATAACACACGAGAAAATTCGTCTTAGAGGATGAATTGTTCCTATATTTCTCTTTCCATCCTGGGGGACGAAGGTTGCGCCCCCCCCCCTCCTCGTCAGAAATCACTAGTGCTGTTCACAATAATAATTTTTTTTATATTACTTAAGAAAATTTGTCTATGAGGATGAATTTAAATTTAATGAAATAGGTGATTTTTGGATTTTTGGAACTTTTTGCCCACCATCCAGTGGAGGGAGGGGCGCGCACCCCCTTCTTGTTACGCTAGTATCCCGCTGGACACGATATTTTTTTCTTAAAATCACATTAAGAAATTCATTTTAGAGGATGAATTTTCCCTACGTTTCTCTTTTATCTTTTTAAAACCTTTTTTGGAATTCTTTTTCCACCTCCCAGGTCTGGATTCGCTAGTGACATGAACATGTTATCCTGTTGGTTCTCCTTTGCCTCTACTACTCTTCCTGATTAATAAAAATAATATAGTAAATAGATTAGTAGCAATGTTAATGAAAAACTGTATGGAAACTTTTTTGAAGCAGTGTATGTATATACTTGTCTTGTTATTTTGTGTCTTATGTTTTTTTATTGTGTTTATTGAAAATATTACTGCAATAGGTCTTTTGGTCACATTTATTGATTATTTTTATGACCAATATTGTTATTATTAAGAGGCTTTGTCCCAGAAACATCCCACTAAAATTGTGTGTGTGTGTGTATTTGTGAGTGTGTGCGCGCGGGTGTCTGTGTGTGTAATAAAAAATACAACATGTAATAATATATACAGTGTTTTAAATAATAATATGCAAACACTCAAAAAATAAAAATAATTTTTTTTTAAAGAATACTTATAGTTATAATGGAAAAAATAAAATACACAGAGACCCATAAAGTAAAAATAAAATAACATAAGTAGGCATAGAAAAGCATTGATTTGGCTGTTATAATGTAAACAGTAGGCTAAATTAATAAAAACTAACACTAAAAATTCTAACAATATATACAGTAATTTAGATAATAATATGTAAAAAGTAATAATTATGCATTAGTAGCTGGTACTTATTTTATGACCATGGACATTTGATTAATGAAATTGATTGACTATAAATAAACTGTAAGGTTAATTTGATTTTTTATTTTAATTTATGATTTGATACACTATTGAAATTCAGGTGGGTTGCGGATTCATACTTGCTGCTATTACTTGCTTTCATCTTCATTGCCTTTTCAGGGCTCCTTGCCGGACCGCTAGCGTTTACTACTCCATGCTCACTATAAAACAAGGAAAAGCTCTTAATTTTATTGCTAGCCAGCTAAGTGATCTCAATTCTACGTGAGCAGCAATGCTTCAATAATGGCGGAATAATCATAACATTTGAGCGTTCTCTTCGGCCCTCAGGCGGCAGCAGTCTGGTTTGATGTTAATTCTATTAAATGGGGAGTTTATATGGTCCCTTAAAAATTATTATATAATAATAACATTTCTGTCATCCTTTGGTGTTATAATGCACTGAGATCCACAAAAATGTCTCCTATTGGTACTTCCAGTTTCTCTGAACCTGGCTAAAGCCCAGGAGACCACAATCTGAGAAACGTCCACTCTATCGGCGAAATCCAGTTGCTA